GTAATCAATAAACTCGCATTTGAACGGGATAAAGGCAAAAAAAGTGTTTTATGCATTTCTATGCTAAAACGATGGGAATACGAGATCTCGGAGGGAAAATTTAATTGACCTGGAAATCATAGATGGCGCAGGGGGTCTCTCTGCTGTCAATTAGGGCCCCAGAAAGCACGAATCCAGAAGATTTCTATGGTTTCACTTCTATTTCTTTATAATTAATGTACGAAAACGACCGGCGGAATATCCCATTTGGTATGTACATACAATACCCAATATAATTCGACCCAGCTGTCAATATAAAAACCAACGTCGGCAACGTAGGTATTTAGGAAAATCTTCTTTATCGATGTCGGCCAAGTTCATCGACGGGTTTCACTTTATGTTAAATCCATTAAGAAAAAAATTCAATTCCTAACCTAAGTTTAACTCATTGATTACTAAGATAAATAAGAGCCAACATTCGGAGAAAAAGAAATACAAACAAATGTATCCTACTAAGGTCTCTTGTTTATCATGGTGAATTTAAACCAACACGAGTCTAAATATCTTTTAATCTGAGCTGAAGTACTGTTCCTTAACAATCACGAACTGTAAAGGCCAGTGAAAATAAACATTTTTTCGTGAACCTACATTCTGTAAAAGAACAAGGAGACATTTATAATAACGTGTCTTTGTAATTAATGTACTCACCATCTGATACATTTACTTCCCCTGGATAAATAGAGTACCAAGTAGCTCTCTAAACAGCGTTTATTTTCAATTATCGAGTCGCTTCCTCCTTAAAAGACTTTGTGCACAATTTCAACGGTGAGAATTACATTAAATATTGATATTGTATTATTGTTCGTGTAATACAAATACTTATCGAACTATTACGCCGTTCTTAATCTAGTCTACTTTTGTTTTCTTTGCATTATATTAAGCATCCAATTTCATTATGGAACACTACATACATACAAAGAGTGAATATATTAATATGATTTCTTTTAAAGGTGTAAGGTTTCATTAAATATCGGAATCAAAGGTAAAAGGATCTCGGCGGAACGTGATTAAAATCGTGGCAATTCTGAAAAGGCGACGTCGACTGTCTTCTCCCTAGTGCCTTTGGAAAGTTCAGTGTCGCATCGAAATTGTCAAAATCTACGTTCGTCATAATCGCCCTAACTATACAGAATAGTTAGCTATAAGGAAGTAATAAATACTTAAGGACTACCTACGCCTATCCTCTGGCATGATATGCGAAGGATAGATTACTTACTCTTGTTAACGCTTAATGTCCATAGTGTTATCGATACATTTAATCGCATAATTTATATCATATATAAACACCGATCTCTATACATTTATGTATATATACACAGTCAGGCTACTTTCTATAGACCGTGAGCATGTCTGATTTCATCTGTCTCATTAATTCCGTATTAAACAATATAAAAACTTCTTCGGGAGTATAAAATCGCTGCATGGGATCTCTTTACGGAATTTAAATTGCAAATACGATATTCTATAAATAACGGAACAGATACTTTTATTAATAATAGAAAACGATACACGGAGTCCGAGAGTTGCTAATTCCTTCTTAACAAATCTTTCAGACAAGCCCACATCCCTAGTAGCACAAAATATTTGTCCTATATTTCCTATATGTTTAACGAATATCGTACATTTTGTAAATATTTGCCAAACGTTTAGTTTAGAATATTATCTCTGTAATATTTATATAATATTACCTCCGGGTGTTTTCATAATATTTTTCTACCAGATGTATAAAACAATTCGTTTCATTTTAGTACAAGAATTTTTTAAATGTTATCTGCCGAATACATTATAAACGTTTTAAAAATATTTAAAATCAAAATCACAGGTTTTGCTCCCATAATGAAATAGTGGAAGGAAAATATTAGACAAATTTCTCGTGATTTTTGATACCAAATGAAGGGTCCGATAATAGTCGTGAAGTAAAAAATGTATTTTTAATATGTTAATGAGTTAAAAAATATTTCTCTATATGTTTATAAATTATTGAAACTAAATATGTCATTGAGATTTTCAAGAAATATTTCAAATCTCTTCGAATGACATCTACAAGAGATCTGAAAAAATCCGTCGCTTGAGATATTTAGCAAAGATTACAAAGAAATATTTAGAAATTATTCTGTGCTACTAGGGATATTACTTTAATTAAATAGAAAGCGCCATTGAGAATCTCCTCTTCGGTAGTGCGGGCACCGACATTTTTAACGCCATTACGCGATAATTATGTACACACTTGAAGGACCTATGTAGGGGTGGGAATGCCACCCCCGAAAAATTTCTTTCCTTTCCATTTCATTTCAAAACGGCCATCTATTTTAGATACTGAAAGACATCGCCGATACTACGTACGTTATTAATCACGGTTTCCTATATACAGTATACTCTCTTTAAACAAAAGTAATGCTCGTAGTCGCGCTTACGCGCGAGTACTTCACTGTTCATATATCACATTGAGACAATCCGGACGAAATTATCGCGAGACGTCTCAATTTTATAATTACAGACAATAAACATCAAAGGGGAAATAGTTGCAAAATAATTTGTAAGACCGATACATGCTTAATCGAACATTTAGAATTCATTCCGGACAGGTTAAGACTTTCAGCGTTCCCCAGATTGCTTAAGGTGAGGTGAAACCCCCTTTAGATCAGTCGATTCGAATACAACACTTTTTTCTTTAAGGGTATTGGACCAAATTGTCCGAAACTTTGTCACATGACTTGTGATCGTCTAAGAATTGTCCTGACACATTCAAAATTTGGATTTTTGGAAGAAATTTTTTAACTTAGCCCAAACCAGAAACAAAATGGCGTCCAGCTACCATATTTCGATCAATATACAATTATCGAAGCCTCTGATATGAGAAACGAAAGGGTCAGGGTAATTTTACAACAATTTAGAACACTCTGGTAATCGATAAACTCGTATAACTCGTATACAATTATCGAAGCCTCTGATATGAGAAACGAAAGGGTCAGGGTAATTTTACAACAATTTAGAACACTCTGGTAATCGCTAAACTCGTATTTGAGCGGGATAAAGGCAAAAAAAGTGTTTTATGCGCTTCTATGCCAAAACGATGGAAATACGAGGTCTCGGAGTGAACATTTAATTGATCTGGAAATCACAGATGGCGCAGCGGGTCCCTCTGCAGTCAATTAGGGCCCCAGAAAGCACGAATCCAGAGGATTTCTATGGTTTTACTTCGATTTCGTTATAATTAATATACGAAAACAACAGGTGGAATATGCCATTTGGTACAATACCCAATATAATTCGACCCAGCTGTCAATATAAAAACCAACGTCGGCAACGTAGGTATTTAGAAAAATCTTTATCGACGTCGATCAAGTTCCTCGGCGTGTTTCACTTCACCTTAAAAAATAGACAGGGTGTTTCAAAAAGAAGTTGTACTTCGTTACAGTCTCCGACCACGATAAATCTGTATTCCTAATAAGGAAAAACGAAAACCTGGCAATTAATCTAAATCTAGACTCGCCCTTCTTCGACATGTCCGAACGGACGTTTATTCCTCGTGTATAAACCAATTACTAATTTCTTTATTAGTCATTAGTCAGAGGTCGGAAAAGATTACGAGCTATCTCGCTGAACTAATAACATGCCGCTGAAATTATTCTGCAACTATTAAATGGCATTTTTCAAGCTGACACTTTAGGATCTCTTCTTTGGTCTCACATTTCACGCGAAGCTCCTCGCAAAAACTCGCACCCATTGTTACCGATCCAACGAATTGTAACACTCGAAGTTAATCGTATCTAGTGACTAATTGATCTCTAATTATACTCTTTACACCCTAAAATAGGCTACGAGATAGTATGGCAATAAAAAAAAAAGAATTCTTTATTTTCATGTTCCTTCGATGACGCGTTGGTGTCACGTATGCTAATAATACTTTCGAAGTCATGCAATGTGAGTTCAACGACTTAACATCTAAGAGGATGGACACTTACTAATATAATAGGTTTGTTCGTTTTGCCTACACTTTTTACACTTTTACGAAAATTGTACACTTTGCCGTTCGTTTCGACGGAAGGGACGCAGATGTCGCTGTTCGTTTTGCGAGGGCATTTACATCGAGTGTACACTTTCTCTACACGTTCTACCCTTCATCCCGAGCGAGTGCAAGAAGGGTAGTCCGCGAATTTGGCGGCAAATTTCAAAATTGAAAAGACCAACAAACAGGAAATTACAAAAATTATGCTAACGTCTCAACGTAATATATACAGAAGTAATTATTAATGCATCTTCTTCGTGTGTAAAACGATTTAGCGTTTTAGTTTTGTACGTAATGCTTGAAACAATTTACAATAATTATGTATTATTACCTAACCGCGGTTGGAATGAACCTACTTCTACGCTCGATCCCTAACAAGGGCAAGAAGGTTAGTCCGCAAATTTGGCGGCAAATTTCAAAATTGAAAAGACCAACAAACAGGAAATTACAAAAATTATGCTAACGTCTCAACGTAATATAAACAGAAGTAATTGTTAATGCATCTTCTTCATGTATAGAACGATTTAGCGTTTTAGTTTTGTACGTAATGCTTGAAACAATTTACAATATTTATGTATTATTACCTAACCACGGTTGGAATGAACCTACTTCTACTCTCGATCCCGAGCGAGTGCAAGAAGGTGAGCCCGTGAATTTGGCGGCAAATTTCAAATTTGAAAAGACCAATAAACAGGAAAATACAAAATTGATGCTAACGTCTCAACGTAATATAAATAGAAGTAATTATTAATGCATCTTTTTCATGTATAGAACGATTTAGCATTTTAGTTTTGTACGTAATGCTTGAAACAATTTACAATAATTATGTATCACTACCTAATCGCGGTTGGAATGAACTAAACTATAATTTTTCATTGTGTAGTTAAATTGTTTTTCATTCTCCTGTAACAATATTCTGACCCTTATTGATCCTCAATATCTGAAATTCGTGAAAGGAATTTTCATCTTCTATAATTACAAGGTAATTGAACGAATTGTAGGATTTGAAAATAACAAAGACAGCCCAAGAAGGAAGGCTGGAGGAAGCATTACATTTTCATATTCATCATCCTCCGATACAGATGACCTCAAAATCTCGTATTTCTCTACTAAATCGATCATCTTGGACTTTCTTGAGCTTTTTGGCGTTGGGGACGTCGACGAAAGTGTATCTACCCTTCTGCACTTTTCAAGAAAAGTGTAGTACCTTCATTACCCTCAAGTGTAGAAAGTGCAGTCAACGCGAACAAACCTAATATCGATATCATAATAGAGGGTGCCATCATCGCCTCGTTCCCGGTTCCTGACAATTGCTGATTTTTTAATACAGTTGGATGTGCATACTGGGAGACATCAATGCCTTCCCATCCTGCACAGGCGATGCCGTATCTGCAGGGGAGGCATTCATGTCCGCCACTATACTCACACGGAATGCAGATCTATTTAAAATCGAACGAGCCAGTCGAGTATTGTAGAGTATCGATAGTCCTCTTTAATCGGGAATTTTTCTCACCTCGTGATTGATAACGCGCACCGTCAAAGGTGCGCCTTACGTGCCGGATTATTCCTAACGTTTTTAATTCACCGTTAAGCTCGATACACTTGAAACATGCATAATATATATTCATCTTGCGGCATTTGATGCTAAAATTAATTAATATAAGTCCTTTCAGTTATCAGATAAATACTCTTCAGCCGCGCTGAAATATTACATATCACACATTACGTCTGGATAGTGCTCATTCCTTTCCCTTCAAAGTAGGTTCTTTGAGATTAAATCATTACGCATCTCCAGAAGAGCCCAACTATCTCGTCGATAGCGAATAAGGAAACCTTCTTACGTATCTGGCGGGTGAGTTTTGCAGAATTTTAGTAGATTGCTGGTAGAGTCGAGGAGCGAGGTCTCGCCGATAAGGGATGGTGCGCTTCGATTTATCGCCACTTCGTTGGCTTTTGTACGCTGCGACGACCACCGTTGACACTAAAAATCAATGTTTCTTCCTTAAACGTAAGACATCGATAAGCCTAGCCTTTTCATTCTCCAGAATATCACAAAGAAAAAAAAAAAAAAAAGATAGGGAATTCCAACATCCAGCCGGAAATTGATTTTAAGGTGAAGTGAAACCCCCTTCAAATCAGGCGATTCGATTACAACACTTTTTTTTAAGGGTATTGGATCAAACTGTCCGAAACTTTGTCACATGATTAGTGATCATCTAAAAATTGCCCTGACACATTCAAAATTTGAATTTTTGAAAAAAAATTGTTTACCTAAGCCGAGATCAGAACCAAAATGGCGTCGAGATCTCATATTTCGATCCATATACAATTATCGAAGGCTCTGATATGAGAAACGAAAGAGTCAGGACAATTTTGCGACAGTTTAGTACACTCTGGTAATCGATAAACTCGCATTTGAACGGGATAAAGGCAAAAAAAGTGTTGTTTGCGCTTCTATGCTAAAACTATGGAAATACGAGGTCTCGGAGGGGAATTTTAGTTGACATGGAAATCACAGATGGCGCAGCGGGTCCCTCCGCAGTCAATTAGGGCCTCAGAAACCACGAATCCAGGGGATTTCTGGAGTTTTACATCAATTTATTTATAATTATTGTATGAAAAACGACAGGTGAAGTACGCCATTTAGTAAAATACCCAATATAATGCGACCCAGCTGTCAATATAAAAACGAATGTCGGCAACATAGGCATTTAGAAAAATCTTCTTTATCGACGTCGATCAAGTTCCTCGACGTGTTTCACTTCACCTTAAATGTAGCGCAAAATATGGGAGAAATTCCCTTTTTTTAAGGTGTTTTCTACTCGGGCCATTGTCATAGTAAGATCTGATTTTTGTATCTGATGATTTTTTTACTGTTTTTCGGGTTAACAAGGACAATTATTGTATGAAAACGACAGGTGAAGTATGCCATTTTAGTACAATACCCAATATAATGCGACCCAGCTGTCAATATAAAACCAAACGTCGGCAACGTAGGCATTTAGAAAAATCTTCTTTATCGACGTCGATCAAGTTCCTCGACGTGTTTCACTTCACCTTAAATGTAGCGCAAAATATGGGAGAAATTCCCTTTTTTTAAGGTGTTTTCTACTCGGGCCATTGTCATAGTAAGATCTGATTTTTGTATCCGATGATTTTTTACTGTTTTTCGGGTTAACGAGGACTCACCGGGTGTTAATCTTGCAGCATGTGCACGAAACTAATCGGGAACATTCCTCTTCTTTCCGGCGCCCTTTCCAGCGCACCTTCCATCCAATTGTCGTCGTCGGTCTGCTCGTTCGTGACGACGATGACCTCGCCTTCTCGAAAGGAAAGCTCATCCTCGTTGTCCGCTTCGCAGTCGTAAAGGGCTCGACATCGCTTTAGACCGTTCAGGTTCGTCGACATTGGCTGGAGGGAATAAAACGAATACGGCTGTCCCAATAGGAAGCATTAATGTTACACACGTACGGATACGATATTCGGTTCACCCGACCGGAAGGTGTTCATCTTCGCGTTGGATTTACCGGAAACGCGGATCCCGCCGATGCGTGGAATCATATCGACGAATGAAATGTCATTCCCCTAGTAGCACAAAATATTTCTCCTATATTTTCTATATATTTAACGAATATCCTACCTTTTGTAAATATTTGCAAAATGTTTGCTTTAGAATATTACCTCTAACGAGCTATCTCGCTGAACTAATAACATGCCGCTNATTTTCAAGAAACATTTCAAATATCTTCGAATAAAATGTACATGAAATGTTAAAAGATCTGTCGCTTGAGATATTTAGCAAAGATTACAAAGAAATATTTAGAAATTATTCTATGCTACTAGGGTCCATCCGGCATTTCGAGACTAGAAACGCAAGACTCGGTCTTTCGTCGGGTGAATAGAATGGGTTGGAAATTCTAGACGCATCTCTTCCTCCATAACAATGTTAATGTATGTTAAGGTGAAGTGAAACCCCCTTCAAATCAGACGATTTGAATACAACAATTTTTTTCAAGGGTATTGGATCAAACTGTCCGAAACTTTGTCACATGATTAGTGATCATCTAAAAATTGCCCTGACACATTCAAAATTTGAATTTTTGAAAAAAAATTCTTTACCTAAGCCGAGATCAGAACCAAAATGGCGTCGAGATCTCATATTTCGATCCATATACAATTATCGAAGGCTCCGATATGAGAAACGAAAGAGTCAGGACAATTTTACGACAGTTTAGAACACTCTGGTAATCGATAAACTCGCATTTGAACGGGATAAAGGCAAAAAAAGTGTTGTATGCGCTTCTATGCCAAAACGATGGGAATACGAGGTCTCGGAGTGAAAATTTAATTGACCTGGAAATCACAGATGGCACAGGAGGTTCCTTTGCAGTCAATTACGGCCCCAGAAAGCATGAATCCAGAGGATTTCTGGAGTTTTACTTCGATTTCTTTATAACTATTGTACGAAAACGACAGGTGGAGTATGCCATTTGGTACAATACCCAATAAAATTCGCCCCAGCTGTCAATATAAAACCAAACGTCCGCAACGTAGGTATTTAGAAAGATCTTCTTTATCGACGTCGATCAAGTTCCTCGACGTGTTTCACTTCACCTTAAGTTAACAGAATACCACACATTCTCCGGGTGCATATCGAGACTGTATTCTAAATTCAATTACCATCCAGTCTAGAATTTCCAACTGGACAGAAATCTCATGCCAGTTATATATAAACAGCTTATCATATCCATTAACTCTGTAAAACATTGTCACCGCGCGAAGACGGGGTAAGTAAGACATGGTCGGAAATGAAAAAGCACCATACAGGCCATGCTGAAATCAACGTAATGAGGAATTACAGGAAAACAAGAACCCCTCTAGAATGAACACAATGAAAGGAAACTTTGGCAGCGCGCAAGTGATGCATACAAGAAACGAGTCCCGGATTTGCATAAAGAACGGAAACGTTCATCAGGTTCATACGCTGGGCGGAACTAAACGAAAGGCATGGAAAATGGACCCTTTTTTTTATGCCGACTATTGTCTCGTTGGTCTCACCGAGATGGAGATATCTGACTCGAACTTATTCCAGATTCTCCAAAGTTTCCAAAGTTTCCGACATACGTGAGAGTTAAATGAATGGACGAACAGCACGACTGACCATGCGGAGCGTCGTTACTCTTGAAAGTACCACATTGAAAGTTTCTCTGTTGATGTTACCCGGGAATTGTTAGGGTGCGACCAGAAGATATTGTCCGCTCGCAAGTATGTCCAGAAATTTAATAAACGATATAATTTTAATTTTTAACAATTTATAGGTGGTTTCAAGCGTAACTCCGCTGTACTATGGGGGTGGCAAGTGTTTACCAGATTCAGGTTTGGGAGCATAGATGAAGGCTCCTCGGCGTAGCTCGCTAGTCTGGACCGGTCCCTTCGCTGTACCAACAACCGTTAATAACAAACCATAAACCACTATTGACTTCCAAATGCATGCCATCGCTTATGTACCCGTTTTTCAACAAGCTTCGTTCAAGCCCCGAACACTTAACCGGCCCCGGTCGGTGTACACGCTCTGTACATGGGATTGCGTTGCTTTTGGATTAATTTGGACTTTTAGAAAGACAGATGTCTATTGATAGTACATCTAGAATGAGTTTAAATAGGCTACATTGTTGCGTTGTTTTTGCATTTGCTTTTGCATTAATTTAGACCTTTATAGAAGGCACTAAAGATGTCTGCTGATAGCACACCTAGAATGAGTTTAAATCGTCTACATTGTTGCGTTGTGTGATGACGATTTTGCTTTTGGGTTAATGATGATTAAATAAAAAAAAGCTCTTTATAAATGACACTAAAGATGTCTACTGATAGCACATCTAGAATGAGTTTAAATAGGCTACATTGTTGCATTGTGATGACGATTTTGCTTTTGGATTAATTTAGACCTTTATACAAGACACTAAAGATGTCTACTGATAGCACATCTAGAATGAGATTAAATAGTCCACATTGTTGCATTGTGTGATGGTGATTTTGCCTTTGGATTAATTTAGACCTTTACAAAAGATACTAAAGATGTCTACAGATAGCACAACTAGAATAAGTTTAAATCGTCTACATTGTTGCATTGTGTTATGACGATTTTGCAATTTTTCGGTGCCAATGGATTCATTTTTTTTACGGTGATTGCATGAAATAGGCGTTTTCGAAACTTCGTATCACTAAAGAGGAAATGTAAATTAACTTTGCTTGAAATTAATAGGAAATCGTGTCGCTCTGCTTTGTGACTACCCAGACAGCATAAAATATTCATAGAATATAGAAAAGAAGTTGGAAAATATTCCTCATGTATATCCGAACATTGGAATGATATTTTAAGTACAATATTAGATTATGTACATATGATAATGTTTCCCAGATATAGTCTAAATATTTAATGTTTTATATATATAATATTGGTTTAGCAATGTCATTTGAAATATGGAATACTATTCTATAAATACTACCAGTGTTAGAAAAGGTTTGTAATATAACATTGAAATACTAAGTTAACAATTATTTTATACATTTTTACATACACCCTTATTTAAAAAAATCAAAACATGCTAAATATTTCATGGGATAATAATAATATATTATTACTTCATTTTGAATACACATACGTGCTCCAATACTTTAAATTTATATTCCCTGGGTAAGTACTTTATTTTTTGCAAAAGTAGGTGCTTATGTTTCAATTTTCAATAATTTATCTCATCAAACGTTGACACTAATTTAAAAATAGAATACTGAAACATGAACCTTTTGTATTTCTATTTGCATGGCAAAAAATATCATTCAGATATGTATATGACATGCTACTTCTCATGTATAAGTATCAATTCCATGTTAATACAATATATCGTAAAATATATTTCGAAAATAAAAAACTGAGCAAAGCTACATTTATCCCATGTTCAGAAAATGTACATAGCACATAAATCTATATCCTATTAATATTGAAATATTTTCAAGAATATTCTATGTACCTCTGTGCTATGTATTTGTGCTGTCTGGGTATTAGGACGTAATGAGATGTTTACGAAATTATATTTATACGGGACGGGATTATAACAGCATTAGGCAAGAAGTTCGGAAAAAAAAAAGAATGAAATTAACTGAACCAACTCGGTACTTTTTAAGGATCAGGAGAGATAGCGAAGGATACAAATTCCCACGATACAAGTGATTAGTATTAAATGCACAAGCTCTTCGAACACCGATAGGGCAAACTAAAGGGGAAAAGGATGAAACCTAAACTAAATGCCACGTCGCAAAAACAGAAGTGTATCCGGTTATTTTGATCTGCCGTCAGCGTAAAACTTAACATATTCGATCCTTAAGGTGAAGTGAAACCTCCTTCAAATCAGTCGATTCGAAGACAACACTTTTTATTAAGGGTGTCAGACCAAACTGTCTGAAACTTTGACACATCACTCCTGATCATCTAAGAATTGTCCTGACACATTCAAAATTTGGATTTTTTAAATAAATTTGTTAACTCAGCCCAGACCAGAACCAAAATGGCGTCGAGCTATCATATTTCGATCAATATACAATTATAGAAAGGCTCTGATATGAGAATCGAAAGGGTCAGAACAATTTTACGACAATTTAGAACACTCTGGTAGTTGATAAAATCCCATTTGAACGGTACAAAGGCAAAAAAAGTGATGTATGCGCTTCTATGCTAAAACGATGGTAATACGAGGTCTCGGAGTGAAAATTTAATTGACCTGGAAACCACAGATGGCGCAGGGGGTCCTTTTGCAGTCAATTACGGCCCCAGAAAGCATGAATTCAGAGGATTTCTGGAGTTTTACTTCGATTTCTTTATAATTATTGTACGAAAACGACAGGTGGAGTATGCCATTTGGTACAATACCCAATATAATTCAACCCATCTGTCGATATAAAAACGAACGTCGGCAACGTTAGCGTTTAGAAAAATCTTCTTTATCGACGTCGATCAAGTTCCTCGACGTGTTTCACTTCACCTTAAATCCGAATTAAATGGGAGCGTGCCGGTGCAATAATGACCAACCAAAGTCGATACGGTAATTATTGATTCGGACAGTCCGCTCCCCTAGGGAAATAAGATTTTCCCAAGAAGGTTGAACCTTGAACAATCTCAACCAGCTGGAAACAATCCAGGCCAGGCTACAATGAAAAACGTTAATTATTCCTCGAATAAATAGGAATTCAACCGAAAGTAACTCCGACGTCTTGTGATGTAAATAATAAATTGAATATAAATTATACGTACCCTGGCCTAGAACCAGTGAACAATTGACAAATCTCAACCCTGACCGACTCAACAACCAGATCCAACGACTGCGCATACACGTTAAGCCTTTTCCTTCGCTTGAATTCTACGGCATTGTTTGGTCGAGTCCGAAAGGGGTCCAGCTTTTCTTCCCAGCTGTATCGGCTGGCAATTGGGGAATCCAGTAATGCGATAAGATTCTAGGGTTTACCTTTCTGGGAGGTGGTACGGGGTTCCCCAGGCCGTGATCGGAGCAGACGGAACTGAGGGATTCGCTGCTTCTGCCGTTACTCAGTCTGGACGAGCTGACCCCAGAGGGTGCAGGAGGTGGTGGGTTTCGCGGCCTTTGCAGGGTGGAACTATTCGTTTTGTCCATTCCTTGTGCAAGCGGTAGGTAACGTGAGAACTTGCTGCTAAGTAACCTCTGTGCGATGCCGACCTAAAGTCGGGCTCTACCGTTCTAGGGAATAGTCAGAGCGATTTACCATGACCGGTCGAGGAGTCGCCGCTTGGGGACCTCTTGTGATGCTGGCTGTTCAAGGCATTCAGCGAATGCGGCAGAGTGTGCAAAGTGTGACCGGCCAGGATGGGTTCGCTCGTTGTCCGGCTGTGAGAAGACGTCGCCAGAGTAGCCGAGGACGGCAAGGTCCCGTAATGAGACGGGGGTATTCCACTTCCTGCCGTTCCCGGGGGTGGCGGAGGAGCGACTCTCTTTTTCAGGGATCCGTGGATGTTCACCGTAATGTCTGGCGCCATCGGAGACGGGACTGTTGGAAGAAATATAGAAGAGAAGTTAGCGGAACATCCGGATGGCGAAAAACGTGGATGGGGTCGACGTTCATCTTCGCGACCTACCGACAACGGGTTTCCTCGACTGTGGAGGTGGTGGCGGAGGCATCTGCTGCCTGTTCGATGTCGCCCCAGGTGAAGATCCGCTCTGCAAACTATCGCAAGTGCTGCTCCTACTGCGCAGAGTTACGGGAGAGTCTCCCGAGCCTGTTCCACCGCCCCCGGCGTAGGAAGGAGGTCTACTCCGGGACTTCTTCTCGGGAGTTAAACACCCGTTCTGCGGGAATAACAGCAATGAACGACTCCGGGAATTATTTCCCAACCGAGTCACATACCCTATCCTCGATGATGGTCTCGTCGTCTGAGAAATCAGTGGAGCCCTCGTCGTGCGAAAGGTTCCAGTCGATGTTAACGTTATCGAACAGCGTCTTCTGTCGTTGTAGAGCGTGGCTTAACTGAAATAACGATTACCAAATTACCATTATCTACTCCGATCGACTCTTACTCGAAATGCGAGAAAGAACAAGGTGGAATGATCACATAAGGTGAAGTGAAACACGTCGAGGAACTTGATCGACATCGATGAAGACGATTTTTCTAAATGCCTACGTTGCTGACGTTGGTTTTTATATTGACGGCTGTATCGAATTATATTGGATATTGTACCAAATGGCATACTCCACCTGTCGTTTTCGTACAATAATTATAAAGAAATCGAAGTAAAACTCCAGAAATCCTCTGGATTCATGCTTTCTGGGGCCCTAATTGACTGCAGAGGGACCCCCTGCGCCATCTGTGATTTCCAGGTCAATTAAATTTTCACTCCGAGACCTTGTATTCCCATCGTTTTAGCCTAGAAGCGCATATAACACTTTTTTTGCCTTTATCCTGTTCAAATGCGAGTTTATCGACTACCAGAGTGTTCTAAATTGTCGTAAAATAGTCCTGACCCTTTCGATTCTCATATCAGAGCCTTCGATAATTGTACATTGATCTAAATATGAGCGCTCGACGCCATTTTGGGTCTGGTCTGGGTTCTGATCTAAGGGTATTAGGCCAAACTGTCCGAAACTTTGACACATCACTCCTGATCATCTAAGAATTGTCCTGACACATTCAAAATTTCGATTTTTTTTTTAATTTTTTAACTCAGCCCAGACCAGAAGCAAAATGGCGTCGATCTCTCATATTTCGATCAATATACAATTATCGAAGGCTCTGATATGAGAAACGAAAGGGTCAGGACAATTTTATGACAATTTAGAACACTCTAGTAATCGATAAACTCGCATATGAACGGGATAAATGCAAAAAAGTGTCGTTTGCGCTCCTATGCCAAAACGATGGTAATACAAGGTCTCGGAGTAAAAATTGAATTGCCCTGGAATTCACAGATGGCGCAAGAGTCTCGCCGCAGTCAATTAGGGCCCCAGAAAGCACGAATCCAGAGGATTTCTGGAGTTTTACTTCGATTTCTTTATAATTATTGTACGAAAACGACAGGTGGAGTATGCCATTTGGTACAATACCCAATATAACTCGACCCAGCTGTCAATATGAAAACCAACGTCGGCAACGTAGGCATTTATAAAAATTTTCTTTATCGACGTCTATCTAGTCCCTCGACGTGTTTCACTTCACCTTAAAGTACTCGATTACTGTTTTACCAATTCCTTGCAGGTGTGGTGTCCGACTTCTTGGGCAATGTCCAGCGGCGTTTTGTCCTGTTTGTTCCTCAAGGTCGGATCCGCCCCAGCTCTGAGAAGCAATTTCATGGCTTCCGCTCGGTCGTGCCTCGCGGACAGGTGGAGGGCAGTTTCCCCGTCGACGGTGGTTCTGTCTATGCCCCCGGTCGGCATATTCTGCACAAGGAAGTCGACGATGTGCAGACTACTGCCCATTTCTCGCAAGATCGCCAAGTGCAGAGCCGTCTCGCCCACGTCCTGGAATAATTCCATTCATCGTTCGACGTCCATAAATCAGGGTCTTGGCGTCGGATGGTGCAACTCGAGGAGGTCTTACCGACGTGGGCAGAGGTGCCGCGAGGTCCACGTTCTCGGCGTAGACCTGTAGAAGCTGCTGAAGGTCGCGGTTATTGACGGCGTGTTCCAGATCCGAGAGCAAGTCGCGCTCGTCCGCGCAAGTGTTCATGACGTACCTCTTGTCGACGTACTTCGCTCTTATGAACTCGTACCTTTCTTCCCTAGAAGTGGCCGCGTGAACCATCAGAGAGGAACGAATTATCGCGCCTAGGATTCGCATTTAATTAGATTTTCTTTCTCCACGTACATGGTCGACGTCGGCGAGGGCTTCAGATTGTGATGTAACGTCGCCTCCATGACTTCGTTGAACGCCTGATTGGTCATGTAACGTGCCAGCAATAGTTGCGCCGTGCCCACGTTGTCCAGGGTGAGAGATTGTATTCTCGATATGTGCACCCCGAGGTCCCTGTGGATACCGCTGCACTCTATGCAGACGATTATCCCGAAATTCGTGGACAACCAGGTAGCATCTGGGTTAAAAGAGGAGACGTTAAACGCCATACCGTCCATCGATCGGCCAATGTTCGGCTACAATTTCACTTACCGTTTTGGGAGGAACAGTCACAGCACTGGTCGTTACCGGGTAATCGCATAACGCAACGAATCACAGCTTGTTGAAGTTCGACTAAGCTGGGATTACCCTGGCCCGCCTCTGCCTTTCCACTCGCGTCGAATGCCCTTAAAAGGGCTCGCTCTTTGCAATTCACGAGGACGGACATCCAGGCCCGTTGATCCGCCTCGTCCTCGGCTTGGAAATGGTACGTTCGGTTATCTAGGGGCAAGATAAGAAAATGCGATTACTCGCGCTAATGTTATCAAGGAAAAATCCCGGAAAATTCTCGGACCTGGGATTTAACCGACCAACCTGGTCCGAGGTATTAAGGTGAAGTGAAACCCCCTTCAAATCAGTCGATTCGAATACAACACTTTTTTTTAAGGGTATTGGACCAAATTGTCCGAAAGTTTGACACGTGACTCGTGATCATCTAAAAATTGTCCTCACACATTTAAAATTTGGATTTTTTGAAAAAAAATCTCTTAACTTAGCCCAGACCAGAACTAAAATGGCGTCGAGCTCTTATATTTCGATCAATATACAATTATCGTAGGATATGATACGAGAAACGAAAGGGTCAGGACAATTTTACGACAATTTAAAACACTCTGATAGTCAATAAACTCACATTTGAACGGGATAAAGGCAAAAGAAGTGTTGTATGGGCTTGTATGCCAAAACGATGGGAATACGAGGTCTCGGAGTGAAAATTTAATTGACCTGGAAATCACAGATGGCGCAGGGGGTCCCTCTGCAGTCAATTAGGGCTCCAGAAAGCACGAATCCAGAGGATTTCTATGGTTTTACTTCGATTTCTTTATAATTATTGTACGAAAACGACAGGTGAAGTATGTCATTTGGTACAATACCCAATATAATTCGACCCAGCTGTCAATATAAAAACGAACGTCGGCAACGTAGGCATTTAGAAAAATCTTCTTCATCGACGTCGATCATGTTCCTCGACGTGTTTCACTTCAGCTTAACCTCGGGTGGTACACAGTGTGGCACGGAATGTGTTAATCGAGGTTTAGGAACGAGGGGCACGTAATAGATAAAATTTCCACACGAAGTACTTACAACTTATGAGGTCGAAGCCCCTCTTGTCGTCAGGTACCAGCTTGATTTGGCACGTCAATAAATTAACCCTAGTAGGCGGTTTGTTCTCATCCGCGTGACAGATGTCCAAGTATCCCTCGGCTTGGACGGCGCATCTCCTCTTCTGCCACACCCTTCTCATCTTCCCCTCGCTTTTCTTCAAAAGGTGGCCCGAACGCGTGACACCGTGTTGCTTGTCACCTTGGAGCTGGTGTAACGAGTACCCAGCACTGGCATTGGCGTTTAGCTGAAGAAAATTCGGGAAATTTAGCGACTGGAGGATCCACCCTGACGAGTCGCGGTCGAATCGTCCGTTTATCTATTCCCCTACTTCTTTGTCGCATCCGGAACTCCTGAGAAGACTTCGCAGCTCCGTCAGACGTCTCCTCTCCTCGTCCTGGGTTTGCCGAATCTTCTGCAGCTTTATGCTCAAATCCGCGACGTACGAGCCGAAGTGCTCGATGGTCTTCAAGCCATCTTGGAAATAACTGCAATAAGAAGGAGAGTAATTGTTACGTCCGTAAGAAAAATCCTTGTAGTAATTAGAGCATATAGTGGCATCATCACGAGACCTCGTACCATCCTGGGAATTTTTCACTTTCTCCGCGTTCTCACGGTGTGCATTTCGCCGCCAAATGTTGGAACCGAACTTCAGAGAAGGGTTGGGTGAACAAGAATATAAAAAACACCCTCGGACGGTACGTGATCTTACAAAGGCATGGTCAGGCCGTACTCGACCTGGCTACCCTTTTGCTACCCTCGCTGCCGAGGTCCTGGGAGGCGACATTTTTGGACATCTCCGCCAAGGAACCAATCACGTAAAATCTTAGAAAAATTTGTATCCCTTCCACAACGCGGCTACATTTTCCGAGACACCGCGAGTCCTTGCGTGGCTCTAAAAACGACACTCTGCCTTTTACAACGAACGAAGGGAGTCCTCGATTCTCAACTAGAACAACGTAACGCGAAGCTGCATCCTTACGCCTTATCCCAGTAGAAGACTGGCTTAAGAACAATTAATCAGAACTACCAGGAGCTGTTCGCCTTCTGACGTGCAGTGCAAAGAACAAAGACCATAAAAAATACCCTTGGACGATACGTGATCTTACAAAGGCATGGTCAGGCCGTACTCGACCTGGCTACCCTTTTGCTACCCTCGGTGCCGAGGTCGTGGGAGGCGACATTTTTGGACATCTCCGCCAACGAACCAAAATTTGTATACCTTCCACAAGGCGGCAACATTTTCTGAGGCACCGCGAGGCCTTGCGTGACTCCAAAAACGACACTCTGCTTTTTACAACGAACGAAGGGAGTCCTCGATTCTCAACTAGAACAACGTAACGCGAAGCTGCATCCTTACGCCTTATCCCAGTAGAAGACTGGTTTAAGAACAATTAATCAGAACTACCAGGAGCTGTTTGCCTTCTAGCGTGCAGTACAAAGAACAGTAGTTAATAAATCCTGCTGGAAAGACCGTTCACCAGGAATTTATTCAGGGTCTTGGAGAAAACGGGTCGGGCATTTGATCCTGGATCTACAGTTTCCACTTCGCGTCGGACTTGACCTCAAAGTCGCCTGATCCGACGTTCGGAGAAGAGAAAATCCATTCTATCATCGGGAAAGACCTCTCCTCCGGATCAACGTTTATTCCCCGGTGCAAATCATCTCTCTGTACGTTGCTCGGAGATTAATTCAATAGTTAACTACTCACTACGCTTCCATACGCGCTGGAAGACCATCATGCTTCATCGAGCACCGGTCCATCGATCAACCAACCATCCCGAAGAAACCCCCCACTGGTACTCACTTCGTTTGCGCGTGGTAATACTCGACGAGATGCTGCAGCAGCTCGATGCCCTTCTTCGTCTTGATTTCGTTCACCTTGATCAGGTACTGCAAGGTGCAAAACGAGGGGGGGATAACAAATCGGCGAGTGGCTGCAGCCAGATGCAATTCAGACGTGTATGTACAGTAGGCACCCTGACATCGGGAATATGGAATGAAACCTATTGGAGAATTTGGTGCTTTTTTAGTGCTATTTTAGCGCTACAACCTGGATTTTAGTGCTCCACCCCTTATACCGAAAATCGGTGGGGGTGCTGAGTGAACGTCCACCCAACACCCCCACAGTATATACTACGTTAAAGGTAAGATTCATGGATACAACGAGTATGCAGCATTTTGGTGCTATTTTAGTGCTTTAGGAATACCCAAGAGACGGATCCGAAACATCACCCCTTTCACCCGAAAACTATCCCCGATCGTATAAGCGCCAAGAGAGAAGAGGTAGAAATAATAACACATTTTACCCGTTCTTCTCTCGCATTATTTTGATGTTCATCAAAGAATTTGTACACACAATTATTTTTTCCTAAGCCTTCTAATTATTGAAATCTGTACGTAGTATACCTATCTCTACGAAACCCGTCAAATTAACGGACTAGCTAATTTCGTAAACAATCCATATATATTTGCTTCGTTGCAGGGAGTGTAAGGCGAAGATGAGAGTGAAAGTTTGCATTGAAAGTGGAGAAATAGAAGGATCTGCGGATAGTGAAGAGGAAAACTTCTTGAAAGGGTGTCGTAGCAAGAAAAGGATGCGCGTTCTTTCTAGACTCCGAGGATGAGAGGACGAGCATTCCAATCGTTTCCGTGATAATTTTTAAAAAAGGACTTTTTACTTATTAATCATTTATTTAAACGTAAAGCCTAGGGTTGTCTAATACAGACTTAATTTGAATAAATCGATTTTTTAAAGAAAATGCGTGTTTTCGTTTATCCGTCAATTTGACGGGTGCTCGTAGAAACAGGTATATAAAAAACGCCCGTAAACCTAGTGTTAAGGTGAAGTGAAACCCCCTTCAAATCCGTCCATTCGAATGAGACACTTTTTTTAACGGTGTTGGACTGATCTGTCTGAAACTTTGACACATGACTCGCAATCATCTAAGAATTGTCCTAACACATTCAAGATTTGGGTTTTTGGAAAACTTTGTTAACTTAGCCCAGACTAAAACCAAAATGGCGTTGCGCTCTCATATTTCGATCGATATACAATTATTGAAGGCTCTAATATGAGAAACAAAAGTGCCAGGACAATTGCACGCCAATTTTGAACATTGGTAATTGATAAACTCGCATTTGAACGGGATAAAGACAAAAAGAAGTGTCTTATTCGCATCTATGCTGAAACGATGGTAATGCGAGGTCTCGGAGTGAAAATTTAGTTGACCTGGAAATCACAGATGGCGCAAGAGTTCCCTCTGCATTCAAATAGAGCATCGATCTAAATCTGGGCTAAGTTTAAATATTCCCCTAATAGCATAGAATAATTTCTAAATATCCCTTCGCAATCTTTGCTAAATATCTCAAGCGACAGATTTTTTAAAATTTCTTGTAGATTTCTTCCTAAGGTATTTGAAATATTTCTTGAAAATCTCAACGACATATTTAGTTTCAATAATTTATAAACATATGAAACAGGTATATAAAAAACGCCCGTAAACCTAGTGTTAACGTAGTATGCACTGTGGGGATCTGAGCGAACTTACATTCAGCACCACCACCGATTTTCGGTATAAGGGGTGGAGCACTAAAATCCAGGTTGTAGTACTAAAATAGCACTGAAAAGGCACTAAATTCTCCAATAGGTCTCATTTCATATTTCCGATGTGGGGGTGCCTACTGTAGAAAACCATAATTCAGACTCTCGCTCACCTCGCACATCTGCAGCTGGAAGAGTCGCCTCTCCTTCTCCATCTCGTCGGCGATTTCTGCAGGGGTGATCTCGGTCCTGATGAGGCCGGCCTCCTTGGCGTGCTGCTTCTTCTCCTTCTCGATCTTCGCGTACTTGGCCTCGTAGTCCTTCCAGGCCTTTTCGAACGGCCTCTTCAGGTCGCCCTTGACGCCCCTCAGGTCCCCCTTCAGCACGGAGTCCAGGGGGAACATGACGATGTTGTTTATGTTCTGCATCTGAAAGCCGTGGTCGCAAGGTCAGCCAGGAAACGAGCCGATCGATCGCCCCAGCTCGGGGAGGAATCCCGCAAATTTATTCAAATCTCATGCATTCCCCAGGAGCCGAGGGGCACTCCTTTCGTCCTCCAGGAAACCGGTACCTGCCCGTTCCCGAAGAGATTCGGAAGGACCCCGGCAGCGAGGCCTTCGACTCCTGGACCCTGGAGGAACCGTTCCTAGGATCGACGCATGGGCGAGTGAAATACTTCATGGGAGAAAAGAGGAACAAAGGAAGGAAAAAAACATCCGTGAAAGTCGACGTCGTCGGCCAAGAAAGAAAGGAGGTCCGACATGGAGGTGGTGGTGAAGAACGAGGTACGAATGCAAATAGCCGGCCTCGGGGAAGAGCACCTTGAGGAAGGAGCCTCCGAGGAAGCGAGAGGGAGACTTTTCCGGTAATTTCCCCGTTTACGGGACGGTGAAGACGAGGAGGAAGGTGATTTACACCGTGCCCGTCCACTGGTTGCCGACACGAGTCCAGGATTTACGAGGACTCCCTACGTCACTGGCGGAAGCAATCGATCCCGAAGATGACTCAAAATGCCTGCACCTTGCGGGAACCCGAGTGGTCTTACGTGTTCGGAGGAACCCCGAAACAAGAAATCGCCAGGTGACCCTGAAGACACATTATGCAAATAGATAGGGAAAGTCGATTACGAAAATGTCAATTAACCGAATTCGGACGACTCGGAGCCTGTCGTCTACATGGATAAGAGACAAGATCGACCGGAACTCCAACGAGGAAACGAAACCCACAGAAGACATTAATCCTGAACATGACTCAGAAGATTGTATAGTTTACCAGGTGAAACGTATTCGGCATCTTCCTAAACGAGGCGCATTAAGGTGAAGTGAAACCCCCCTCAAATCAGTCGATTCGAATACAACACTTTTTTTTAAGGGTATTGGACCAAATTGCCCGAAAGTTTGACACATCACTCCTGATCATCTAAGAATTGTCCTGACACATTCAAAATTTTGATTTTTTATAAAAATTTGTTAACTCAGCCCAGACCGGAACCAAAATGGCGTCGAGCTTTCATATTTCGATCAATATACAAATATCGAAGGCTCTGATATGAGAATCGAAAGGGTCAGGACAATTTTACGACAATTTAGAACACTCTGGTAATCGATAAAAACGCTTTTGAACGGAATAAAGACAAAAGAAGTGTTGTATGCACTTCTATGCTAAAACGATGGCAATACGAGCTCTCGGAGTGAAAATTTAATTGCCCTGGAGATCATAGATGGCGCAGGGAGTCCCTCTGCAGTCAATTATGGCCTCAGAAAGCACGAATCCAGAGGATTTCTGAAGTTTTACTTCGATTTCTTTATAATTACTGTATGAAAACGACAGGTGAAGTATGCCATTTAGTACAATATCCAATATAATTCGATACAGCTGTCAATATAAAAACCAACGTCGGCACCGTAGGTATTTAGAAAATTTTCTATAACGACGTCGATCAAGTTCCTCGACGTGTTTCACTTCACCTTAAAGCGAAGTGAAACCCCCCTCAAATCAGTCAATTCGAATACAACACTTTTATTTAAGGGTATTGGACCAAATTGTCCGAAAGTTTGACACATGGATCGTGATCATCTAAGAATTGTCCTGACACATTGAAAATTTGGATTTTTGGACAAAATTGTTTAACTTGGCCCAGACCAGAACCAGAATGGCGTCGAGCTCTCATATTTCGATCAGTATATAATTAATGAAGGCTCTGATATGCGAAACGAAAGGGTCAGGACAATTTTAGCATAATTTAGAACAGTGTGTTAATCGATAAACTCGCATTTGAGCGAGATAAAGGCAAAAAAAGTGTTGTATGCACTTCTATGCTAAAACGATGGCAATATGAGCTCTCGGAGTGAAAATTTAATTGCCCTGGAGATCATAGATGGCGCAGGGGGTCCCTCTGCAGTCAATTATGGCCTCAGAAAGCACGAATCCAGAGGATTTCTGAAGTTTTACTTCGATTTCTTTATAATTACTGTATGAGAAAGACAGGTGAAGTATGCCATTTACTACAATACCTAATATAATCCGACCCAGCTGTCAATATAAAAACGAATGTCGGCAACGTAGGTATTTAGAAAAATCTTCATTATCGACGTCGATCAAGTTCCTCGGCGTGTTTCATTTCACCTTAAGGTGACAATCAAAGAGGACCAACCACCCAGAATGATTGATTAAAAAAAATATTCAATTAAGCAAATGAAATTAATCTTTTCTAGAGATTGTCCACCCAGAGACAAGCCAGGATTTACCGGAATTCCATTTGGGAAACGAAACTCGCCAGAAGACATTGATCCCAAAGATGAGTCAGACTTTACACCTTATCGGACTCGTATGACCTCATATTTTCGGTCTTCCTAAACGAGACCTCGAGCTAGTATAGAACGAGGTGAACTTCGTAATCTCAAGGAGAAAGAGTCCATAAAGAAGGTCTGGATTAAGGTGAGGTGAAACACGTTGAAGAACTTGATTGACGTCTATAAAAAAGATTTTTTTAAATACCTACATTGCCGACGTTCGTTTTTATATTGACAGCCGTGTCGAATTATATTGAGTATTGCACTAAATGGTACACTCCACCTGTCGTTTTCATACAATAATTATAATGAAATCGAAGTAAAACTCCAGAAATCCTCTGGAGTCATGTTTTCTGGGGTCCTAATTGACTGCAGAAGGACCCCCTGCGCCATCTGTAATTTCCAAGTCAATTAAATTTTCACTCCGAGACCTTATATTCCCATCGTTTTAGCATAGAAGCGCATAAAACACTTTTTTGCTTTTATCCCGTTCAAATGCTTTCTGGTCACTTTTCAAGAGAGTTCTGTCGGTTGACAACATTTTGTTAAAAGTTAATAACAATTTCTGATTATCACCCTTGAGATGCTGGGGTTTCGAGGGGCTCTATACAGTGGACAACAATTCCAGGGGATAGTTCCATGCTTCCTGGTAACTTTTCAAAAGAGTTCTGTCGGTTAACAACATTTTGTCAAAACTTAATAACAATTTCTGATTATCACCCCTGAGATGTAGGGGTTTCGAGGAGCTCCATGCAGTGAAAAAACACCCCGAGAATAGTTCCACACTCCCTCGACCATTTTCAAGAGAGTTTTGTCGGTTAACAACATTTTGTTAAAAGTTAAAAACAATTTCTGATTATCACCCCTGCGATGCTGAGGTTTCGAGGGACTCTATGGAGTGGAAAAAATTCCAGGGGGTAGTTCTATGCTTCCTGGATACTTCTCAAGAAAGTTCTGTCGGTTAACAACATTATGTTAAAAGCTAATAACAATTTCTGACTAGCACCCCTGAGATGCTGGGGATTTAAGAAGCTCTATGCAGTGGAAAAACACCACGAGGATAGTTCTACTCTCCCTCGACCAGTTTCAAGAGAGTTCTGGCAGTTAACAACATTTTGTTAAAAGCTAATAACAATTTCTGACTATCACCCCTGCGATGCTGAGGTTTCTAGGGGCTCTATGGAGTGGAAAAAATTCCAGGGGTTAGTTCTATGCATCCTGGATACTTTTCAAGAAAGTTTTGTCGGTTAACAGCATTACGTTAAAAGCTAATAACAATTTCTGACTAGCACCCCTGAGATGCGGAGGATTCAAGAAGCTCAATGCAGTGAAAAAACACCCCGAGGATAGTTCTAGGCTCCCTCGACCATTTCCGAGAGAGTTCTGTCGGTTAACAACATTTTGTTAAAAGCTAATAACAATTTCTGTATATCACCCCTGAGATGCTGGGGGTTCAAGGAGCTCTATGGGGTGAAAAAACACCCCGAGGATAGTTCTACACTCCCTCGACCATTTTCAAGAGAGTTCTGTCGGTTAACAACATTATGTTAAAAGCTAATAACAATTTCTGACTATCACCCCTGAGATGCTGGGGATTCAAGAAGCTCAATGCAGTGAAAAAAACACCCCGAGGATAGTTCTAGGTTCCCTCGACCATTTTCAAGAGAGTTCTGTCGGTTAACAACATTTTGTTTAAAGCTAATAACAATTTCTGTATATCACCCCTGAGATGCTGGGGATTTAAGAAGCTCTATGCAGTGAAAAACCGCCCCGAGGATAGTTCTAGGCTCCCTCGACCATTTTCAAGAGAGTTCTGTCGGTTNCCTCGACCATTTTCAAGCGAGTTCTGTCGGTTGACAGTATTTTGTTAAATGCTAATAACAATTTCTGACTATCATCCCTGAGATGCTGGGGATTCAAGAAGCTCAATGCAGTGACAAAACACCCCGAGGATAGTTCTAGGCTCCCACGGCCGGTCCTCGTCGGTCTTCATACGCAAAGGATGGACCCCACGCGAGGGACGACGGACCCCATGAGAGGGATGCTGGGTCTCCCTCTCCTCTCTCAGTGGTCCATCTCCGTGCCTCCCTTCTATCCGTCTTCCTTCTTCACAGGTCCGTTGTTCGACGATGAGTCACGGGACGATGCGTTAGCATTTCTCCGGCCCCAGCGGTCCCATTGAATGGAGCCCTCCGTCGACCCCCTCGGGCGTGACCCCTCTCCTTTATTGTTATTCCGCGGAAACGGGATCCTGCCGATCCACCAGCCTGATTGGTCGTCGACGTCCTTACAACGAACTGCAGCGACTACTAAAACACGGACCGGTTGACGAAAGAATTCCCACGGACGCGACGTTAACCGACTTCTTCCCGCCACCGAAGATGACGTCTCGATCTCCACATTTTTCAGAGCTGACGCGACCTGCTTCATCCGTCAACTCGGAAGCTATGACGCTCTTTTTATCCTTTTAGGTGAAGTGAAACACGTCGAGGAACTTGATCGACGTCGATAAAGAAGATTTTTCTAAATGCCTACGTTGCCGATGTTGGTTTTTATATTGATAGCTGGGTCGAATTATATTGAGTATTGTACCAAATGGCATACTCCATTTGTCGTTTTCGTACGTTAATTATAGAGTAATCGAAGTAAAACTCTAGAAATTCTCTAGATTTGTGCTTTCTGCGGCCCTAATTGACTGCAGAGGGACCCCCTGCGCCATCTATGATCTCCAGGGCAATTATATTTTCACTCCGAGACCTCGTATTCCCATCGTTTTGGCATACAAGCGCATAAGACCCTTTTTGTTGCCTTTATCCCGTTCAAATGCGAGTTTATCGATTAACACACTGTTCTAAATTATGGTAAAATTGTCCTGACCCTTTCGTTTCGCATATCAGAGCCTTAGATATTTGTATATTGATCGAAACATGATGGCTCGACGCCATTATGGTTCTGGTTTGGGCTGTTAAAAAATGTTTTCCAAAAATCCAAATTTTGAATGTGTCAGGACAATTCTTAGATGATCAGGAGCGTGTGTCAATGTTTCGGACAGTTTGGTCTAATACCCTTAAAAAAAAGTGTTGTATTCGAAACGAGTGATTAGAGAGGGGTTTCACTTCACCTCAAGGTGAAGTGAATGATACTTAGTGAAGATTACAAAGAAATATTTAGAAATTATTCTATGCTACTAGGGATCATGGGATGAGAGTTGAAGAATAAAAGAATCTATATGTTTATAAATTACTGAAACTAAACATGTCATTGAGATTGTTAAGAAATACTTCAAATATCTTCGAATGAAACCTACAAAAAATCTGAAAAAATCTGTCGCTTGAGATACTTAGCGAAGAATNTGTTTATAAATTATTGAAACTAAACATGCCATTGAGATTTTCAAGAAATGTTTAAATATCTTCGGATAAAATCTACAAGAAATCTTCCAAATATCTTCGAATGCTACTAGGGATTATGGGATGGGAGTTGAAGGATAAAAGAATCTATATGTTTATAAATTATTGAAACTAAACATGTCACTGAGATTTTCAAGAAATATTTCAAATATCTTCGAATGAAACCTACAAAAAATCTGAAAAAATCTGTCGCTTGAGATACTTAGCGAAGATTACAAAGAAATATTTAGAAATTATTCTATGCTACTATTCTATGAAATTATTCTATGGGATGGGAGTTGAAGGATAAGAGAATCGTACCAGGAAGCACTTTCTCGCGTTTGGAGTCACAGGACCTGCATGGATGTCCGGAATTGGTATTTCCGATCGGGAACGATCTCCTGGTATTCGACCGACCTTCCCGATGAGAGGGTCGTGGGTGCTCCCGAGGGAGGACCTGCTGGGATAAGACCGAGGACCTCCGGAAGGACGAGCCAGGAGCGGATCGATTTTCTCGAGGCGTCCCAATAATTATTCTCACCGGGAGAACCGGGACGGAAGGAGAGGCGTGGTCTCCCGGTGGAGGGGAATCTGGGCCAAGGACTTCCGCCCGGCGTATCCCGAGGGGCACCGGAAGTGTCCTACCCGAAGCCACCTCCGGGGGAAACGACGCTCCCCGAGGCTATCCCGAGGGATCTCCCGTCGATCCTGCGCCTGCTCGCTCCGTTTCTCAGACACCGGAAGAACGATATCCGGATTCGAGGTTTAAATCGATGACGGCGCTCCTCCACGCCCCTTCGGCACCGACTGCGCTTCCTCCTCCTTGTAAGGATTCTCTCTGGTTCGCTAAAACCTTGAAGATACCCCGCGAGTGCCTAAAGGAAGTCTATTTTTCCTAGCGCCACGACCTTCCCTAGTAGCACAAAATATTTGTCCTATATTTTCTAAATATTTAACGAATATCGTACACATGAGCCTACGTGCCATGGGAAAGGTTCAAAAGGTCGGAAAATGGGTGCCATATAAATTGACCGATACACAGATGCAGCAACGCCAAAACAGATGCGAAATCTTGCTCGCCAGACAAAAAAGGACGTCTTTCCTGCATCGGATTGAGACTGGCGATGAAAAGTGGATATTTTTCGAGAATCCTAAACGCAAGGAATCGTGGATTGATTTCGGCAAACCATCAAAATCGTCCGCAAGACCAAATAGCTTCGGACGGAAGACGATGCTGTGCGTCTGGTGGGATCAGTAGGGTATCGTCTACCATGAGCTGTTGCACCGTGCTCTGCGTGAAAAACGGCCGGATTATCGGCATAGACGTGACAAGCTGATTTTCCTCCACGACAACGTCCCATCGCACACGTCGAAAATGGTCCGAAAGAACTTGGAGGCCCTTAACTGTTAGGTGCTACCCCATGCCGTTTATTTACCAGACCTGGCTCCGTGCTCGCTGAGCAACACCTCGATTCTTATGAAGACGTCCGACAATGGCTTGATGAGTGATTTGCCTCGAAAGAGAAAGAATTTTTTTGGCGTGGTATCCACCATTTCCATGCGCTTACGTGCCATGGGAGAGGTTCAAAAGGTCGGAAAATGGGTGCCGCATGAATTGCCCAATAGGCAGGTGGAGCAACGCCAAAACACATGCGAAATCTTGCTCGCCAGACAAAAAAGGAAGTGGTTCCTGCATCGAATTGTGACTGGCAATGAAAAGTGGATATTTTTCGAGAATCCTAAACGCAAGGAATCGTGGGTCGATCCCGGCCAACCATCAAAATCGTCCGGAAGCCCAAATAGCTTCGGACGGAAGACGATGCTGTGCGTCTGGTGGGATCAGTAGGGTATCGTCTACCATGAGCTGTTGAAACCTGCCCGCCGCTACCACCAACAACTGATCAAATTGCCCCGTGCTATGAGTGAAAAAAGGCCGGATTATCCGCAAAGACATGATAAGCTGATTTTCCTCCACAACGCCTCATCGCACACGTCAAAAATGGTCCGCAACTACTTGGAGGCCCTCAACTGGGAGGTGCTACGTGGATCCGACACATAACCCCCTTCACCCGAAAACTACCCCCAATCATATAGGCTCCAAGAAAGAAGAGGTAGAAATATCAAAATTTGCACCTTCTCTTTTCGCATTATTTTGGTGTTATTTGTGTGCTCTGTGGATACCCACGATGTCCTTAAAGCACTAAAATAGCACTAAAAAAGCATTAAATTCTCCAATAGGTTTCATTTCATATTTCCGATGTGGGGGTGCCTACTGTACATACATAAGCCGGGGTGTTCGTTCTCCGGATGCTCACCAGGGTTTTCATCAGGGCACTCAGCTCTTTGGTGACGACGGCGAATTTGAGGAAGGCCGCCCCAATGTCCGGTTCCTGTTCCTTCAGCGCGGCATCCCCCAGCCTCTCCAGGGCTCTGCCCAGGTAGACCTCGTTGTCCACGTGGGCTGGAAAAGAAAGGATCATGTAAGCTTCCCTCGATTTACGAGGTTATTTCCAGGGTATTCCAATCCATCCCTACCCAACAACCGGTCCGGGTCGAACACGACACGAGAGGGAAAACGGAAACCCCGAGTCAAGGGATCGGATAACGAGTCGCCTCTAGGGTCTCCACGTGGCGCTCGGATTAACCGGGGATTAACTCCGGTTTCGTATTTAAACGAGGAGATCCGCGTAATTTGAAACACCCACACGGAAAGAGTTTCCGTGAGGACTAAACTAACCCCTAGTAGCATAAAATATTTGTTCTATATTTTCTATATATTTAACGAATATCGTACATTTTGTAATCCACGTGGCAGTTGCATTAACCGGGGATTAACTCCGGTTTCGTATTTAAACGAGGAGATCCGCGTAATTTGAGCAACCCAGACGGAAGGAGTTCCCGTGGAGACGAAATTAACCCCTAGTAGCATAAAATATTTGTCCTATATTTTCTATATATTTAACGAATATCGTACATTTTGTAATCCACGTGGCGCTCGGATTATCCGGGGATTAACTCTGGTTTCGTATTTAAACGAGGAGATCCGCGTAATTTGAAACACCCAGACGGAAGGAATTCCCGTGAAGAGTAAACTAACCCATAGTGGCATAAAATATTTGTCCTATATTTTCTATATATTTAACAAATATGGTACATTTTGTAATCCACGTGGCAGTTGCATTAACCGGGGATTAACTCCGGTTTCGCATTTAAACGAGGAGATCCGCGAAATTTGAAACACCCAGACGGAAGGAGTTCCCGTGAAGACTAAATTAACACCTAGTAGCATAAAATATTTGTCCTATATTTTCTATATATTTAACGAATATCCTACATTTTGTAAATATTTACCAGACATTTGAAATATTTGCCAAACGTTTACTTTAGAATATTATCTCTATAGTATTTATGTAACATTACCTCCATGTGTTTTCGTAATATTTTTCTACCAGATATACAAAACATTTCGTTTCATTTTAATACAAGCATTTTTTAAATATTATCTGCCGAATACATTGTAAACGTTTTAAAAATATTTAAAATCAAATTCACACGTTTTGTTCCCGTAATGAAATAGCGGAACGAAAACATTAGAAAAATTTCTTATGTTTTTTGATACCAGGTGAACTGTCCGATAATAGTCGTGAAGTAAAAAATGTATTTTTATNTTAAAAAATATAATTTCTCTATATGGTTATAAATGATTGAAACTAAATACGTCATTGAGATTGTCAACAAATATTTCAAATATCTTCGAATGAAATCCACAAGAAATTGGAAGAAATTATTCCCACGTGAAGAAAAGTTCGATTCCCCTTGATTTTCATGTTTCTGTCCTGCGATCAGCACTAGGGGTGGCGATTCGCCCCTTTAGGGGTGAGAAAAAAAATTGAAACTTGGTTTCCCTGCGAGCAATTAATTAGCAATAAATTCTGGTATATAATTCATCGATGAACATTTACTTAATAATTGTTTTTTACTGTGGCAGTGCTAGCTTTATATAAAGCTGACATCGCCACCATTTTTCGGAAAAGTAAAAGAGCATAAAATATTTTTCTTGTGCAATAAAATAGCAACAAATTAGCAATAAATTTTATTGAATTGTGCTAAAGTGGCAATTCCAGCTTTATGTACATGAGTCGGAGCCTTCGCCTCGGGCAGGCTGATAACCCGTCCCGCCGCTGTTAAGAGTTGATATTTCAATATCACGAGGGGAGCCCGAGGACGGGACAGAGCCGGAGATTGAAACGAATGATTTTCTCGATCGAGGAGTTCGACCCTGGCATCCTGGCCAAGGCAGGACCCTTGGAAAGGGTCGTTTTGACGTTTCCAAGGCGGTTGCCATTGGCAACCGAGGGACGCCAAACAGCCGCCAACGATTCTCGGCTCGGGACACTCGAGGTTCCCCGAGTCGCCGCAAAGCTCGAGAAAAGCCCCGGAAAAAGGGGAAACCGGTACCCCTCCCTCCTTCAATTAGGTAAATCGCCGTCGAGCGACGCAATCGAATCGGAGGTACCTGGAGGAGCCCTCCTCGAGGCTTCTCGGCTTCCGGAACTCCACCGAGGGGTGACTTCCACCTGCCGAGCCGGTTTCATTCTTCTACGTACACAAAGTTTAGAGTGGATTTTCTCAAACCTTAATTAGCCGCCTCGAAGATCAACGCGTAAATGGTTCAATGGCACGTATTATTTGATTTTTGCTGATCTAGTGTCAAGAACACCTATTCGGTTAATATACGCAATTAGACGTTACCGTTCGGTAGCATGACTGCTCCCCTGAATCTCATTGAAAACATGACATTTGTATAATATGCGCGGATTATCGTTACCCGTTGCGTACCATAATCGCAAAATGGCGTTTTAGATGATTCATGTCGATGGGACCATTGTTTTAGTCAGGTTACTCTTAATTAGCCGCCTCGAAAATCTACGCGTAAATGGCTCAATGGCACATTTTATTTGATTTTCGCTGATGTAGTGTCAAGAACACGTCTTCGGTTAATACACGCAATTAGACGTTATCGTCCGGTAGCATGACTGCTCCTCTGAATCTCATTGAAAACATGACATTCGGTACAATATGCGCGGATTATCGTTACCCGTTGCGTACCATAATCGCAAAATGGCGTTTTAGATGATTTACATCGATAGGAATAATTGTTTTAGTTAGATTATCTAAGGGTATAATTAAGATCAGCCGCCTCGAAAATCTACGCGTAAATGGCTCAATGGCACATTTTATTTGATTTTCGCTGATGTAGTGTCAAGAACACCTCTTCGGTTAATATACGCAATTAGACGTTACCGTCCGGTAGCATGACTGCTCCTCTGTACCTCATTGAAAACATAACATTCGGTACAATATGCGCGGATTATCGTTACCCATTGCGTACCATAATTTTCTCAACCCTTAATTAACCGCCTCCAAGATCAACACGTAAATGGCTTAATGGCACATTTTCTTTGATTTTCGCTGATCTAGTGCCAAGAATGGCAGACAAGAAAAAATACGTGTCGCTTAGTTTTCAGTCTACTATAACATATTATAAAAGAAATGATATCGGAGAGATCGACCTGGGATACCTTCCTTGTTAGTGGATTCTTCCCGAGGGGGTCTAAGTGCACCAAAGTGCAGCCAAAGTGCAGGGAAGTGCTCCACGGTGCACGAGCGCTGGGCCACATAGGTAAAGAGGAACACTCGGCTCGTCGGCGAGATACGCCTCGTGCGTCCTCGAGAGTTCCGGATAGCCCCCGAGAGGGAGGAAAACGGTCCATTGTGGAGCACGTGCCGCCCGTCAAAGCGTCGGCGATGTCGACGTCGTCGCCGGGAGCCGTCGCGACGCGGAAAAAGCGTCGCCGGTGCGCGCAAAAAGGTGTCCCGTCGATAACCGCCGCGACGATCATTACCACTTGCATACAAGAATACGAGCCGCAACCCTACCCTAGTAGCATAGAATAATTTCTAAATATTTCTTTGTAATCTTTGCTAAATATCTCAAGCGACAGATTTTTCTAAGATTTCTTGTAGATTTCATTCGGAGATATTTGAAACATTTCTTGAAAATCTCAATGACATGTTTAGTTTCAATGATTTATAAACATATAGAGAAATATTTTTTAACTTATTAACATAATAAAAATACATGTTTTACTTCACGACTATTATCGGACACTTCATTTGGTATGAAAAAAACACGAGAAATTTTTTAAATATTTTCGTTCCGCTATTTCATTATGGGAACAAAACGTGTGATTTAGATTTTAACCCTTTGCGGACGAGACTTTTCCATTATAAAGGCTTGTGGGCGACTATTTGGCAACATTCGTTCGCAAAGGGTTAAATATTTTTAAAACGTTTATACTGTATTCGGCAGATAATATTTAAAAAATACTTGTATTAAAATCGAAGTCGAAGAGGAAGTTTTGTCAAGTATGGCCAATTTTAGAGAGTACTACGAGTTCTGGGACACCTTGTACACACGTTGCTGCATCTAATGTATTAATAACTTGCAAAATGTGTGTCGCTAGAGCGAAGACGCGGAACCGCCCTGGGCAAGGTGTGGTGACGTCACGGGTCAGCTGATCGCCGATCGATCGGACCCCCGGCGGAGGCTGCGTGAACCTGGAATCCAGTTTGAGGCACAAATAAAATGAACAGGCTTATTGGAATGTTACCGTGATATAGACGTTTGTGTCATGTTGAGTTTTGTTTGTAGGATTTTTATTTTTACAAAAGCCAGAGCTGTTCAAAAAGACAAAGAAATTCCGAAATCGTGGAAATTTAGATTTTTCGACCCTAATGGGTTCTCTGACGTTAGGAAAATTCAGAGTCCCAAAAACGTTAAAAGAACCATTTTCAAGATTTTTTTCCCACGACTTAGACTCCTTGAAGTGGCTTGCATTAATTTGCGGAAGTAAATCGCGGGGAATACTTATGCCCAGAATTTCTTTGGACCGATAGGAGTAGTCCTTGGCAGTGAAAAAAATTAAAGTTCGTAAAAATGTTAAAATCTTCCTTTTCACTATTCTTATGATTTTTTTTCTGTCGCTCAAGGTTCAGGCAGGAACTTGTGTTAATTTGTAGGCGTACCCTGGGGATAGTACTTGAACTCAGAATTTTTTTAAACCGCCAGGGGTTGGCCTTGCCAGCTAGGAAAATTCAGAGCCTCCCGGAACCTCAAAAACATTATAATGGTCATTTTCGGAATTTGTTTATTTTTTTGTAACGACTCTGGTTATTGTAAAAAAAAAAATGGCACAAACAAAAGCTCAACATGACACAGAGTCTACATCACAGAAACATTCCAATGTAGGAGGTGAAGGAAATATTTCGAAGAGGCAAGCCAAATTATCGGAGGTCCATGGGCGGACCTATTCCCAAAATCATGGGCGAGGAAAGGCGAGAATGTTTACAAGATA